GCCTGCCCTCCACCCAGCTGCTCTCCCAGCTGTCCTCTCCCTTTAGCACTAGGTCCATCCTTGGCAGGGATGTGCCATTGGCCCTCCCCACCCAGTGGCAGCCCTTCCAGCCTACCCAGACTTCAAGCCCTCTCTCCGCTCCCTCTGGCCCTTGCCCCCCCTCTTACATGGTCCCCTCCTGGGATTCTTATGGCGGTTTGCAGCTTCCAGCCCCTGTCAGTGACCCCTTTTCCCAGTTCTCCAGTGAGATCTTCCCCTCAGGATCTGACCCTGGAAGGGCCGCCCGGCCTCAGCTGCCTGGCATGCCCGGCATGTCCCCGATACAACCCTCCCGCTATGTACACTTCCCTGACGAAATCTATACTCTCGGGGGGGACCCCTACCATGCCCCCTACAGTCCTGGCCAATTTTCTCCCTATTCTCCAACTAGCATTTTCTCCCAGACAGACACCTGCAGTCCAATCAGCAGTCCAATCAGCCTCAATAACTCTTTTGCCCCACTGGTTCCAGGATCCCCTGATATGTCCAGCCTCTACACCACCCTGGGAGCCTCCAGCCCTTTCAGAATCGTGCCCCCAGCCAGCTCCCCTGACACATCCAGTACTTTTGGTCCAATGCTCCCAGCCAGCTACACTGGCACCTCCAGTGTCTTTGGGCCAATGATCTCGGCCAGCTCTGGCAGGGGCAGCCCACTGATCTCGTGCCCTGAGTTCTCCTACCTCATGAGTCCCCTGATCCCGGACAGCTCCCGTGGAACAGTGCCCAGCACTTACAGTTCTCTGGGCGCCACCAGCCCTTTTAGACCAGTGGCCACCGCCAGCTCCCCTGACACGTCTAGTCTCTACGGGCCCATGTTGCCGGCTAGCTATTTCTCCAGCTTCTACGGGTCAATGGTCCCAGCCAGCACCACCGGCTCAGGCAGCCCAGTCTTCTCCAGCGGCCCCTCCAGCCTCTTCAGCCCCTTAGCTCCAGCTAGCTCTCCTGGCACCATTTGTGTCCCATCGCCCATCCAATATTCCCCACTGATCAGTTCACCTGTCCCAGCCATGAGCCCAAGAGCCATCTCGCCACACATGCTGGCCAGCCCCTTGGCCCAACCCGTCAGCCCAGAGCCTGCTGAGAAGAGTGATCGCCGCACACAAGCCACTCCCATGGGCAGAGGTAAGACAGTCCGTGGAGGGAGAGGGAAGACAGATGGGGGGGACAGATGGGGGGGCTCCCCCTGGCCCCACTGCACCCAGCATGCCTCTGCCAGGTTCTAACTGCTCAAGGCTGGTGGGACTAGCCCGGCCCTTTGGGCTGCAGGGAAGAAGGCCAGCACAGAAGTATGTGGGGCTCCTTTGGGCCTCTCCCCCTAAGCAAAAAAAAAACAACCAACGGTTCCCTACCACTTTGGGCAGGTAGAGCTCAGTTCACCTGCAGACCCCTCTCCCTCTCTGCTCAGCCATGCCAGCCCACCAGGGCTGCCCCCGGAGGCTTCAAGACCTTCTTCCCAATTGGGCTGCCTTTGGGCCTTTGAGAGTGACCAAGAAGTCACTGGACCCATCCTCATCCTGAGGCAGCACAGATCCAAGCATTTGGAAGATCCTGCCAGGAAGTCCTGGGAAAGGCTGGACTTCCTTTCCTGTTTTTGGACCGTTCCCCTCTGGCAAAACGGCCATCTTTCCTCTCCCTTGGCTACCAGGAATCCTGGGAATCAGGCTTTCTGATACACAGACGTGCCCGTCAGATGGGTCAGCTTTCCAAAGGCTGCCCGGGGCAATCCCGAGGGCCAGAGGGGCTCTCCC